TCTTTCTCTCTCTCTCTCTCTCTCTCTCTCTCCCCCCCTCTCTCTCCCTCTCTCTCTCTCCCTCCTTTTCTCATTCCTCTCCCTCCATCAAAGCACCTCTTCCCTTTCAGTAAACTCTCAGTCTCAGGACATCCTTCTCTCACGCGTCTCCACACCCCTTTCAGCAAGAGGGGAGAGCTGCAGATCGGAAGACAGGCAGAGAATTTTGGGAATAGTGTCATCGGTGAATTTGAACTGTCTCTTGTCATAGAACTTGTGCAGGATGGTGCTGTGTGGGTGGTTTATCTTGATGTGCATGTAGTGTTTCGTGGGGTCTTCTGTGGTGTTGCCGCATTCCTCGCAAACGTACAGCTTCCGTCTCCTTTCTTTTGGCGCGTACAGAATGGTCTGGCCATGAACCTTCTTGGCGTGGGACTCTAAAGAGCATCTCTGTGTGAAGGCTTTGTTGCAATGCTGACACTTGAACGGTCGGACGCCTGGAAAACAGATTATGAGTTTAAACATTACAAAATTGGAACCTGCAAAAGGGAAGACCGTTGATGAAAGAGCACGATAAAGAAGACGACGTTGAAAATGAAAAGACAGGAGAGGAGGGGGTATCTGAAATGACAAGACAAAGACCACCCTCAGCCAAAATTCCAAAACCCTTAGAATGTCGCACATGCTTAATTTGCCAACTGAAATAATGAACACACAATTCCCAAATTTCACAAATGTCTTCAACAGATAAGCTGTTTAGAATTGAAGTAGTGAAAAAGACCAACATCTATGCACAGGTCTGTATAATTGCCCACTGACTCTAAAATGTTCATTAAAACTGACGACCACGTTCTATCAGAGACATATACGATTTTGAAAAGGATATTACTCATTCATTCATTCATTCATTCATTCATTCATTCATTCATTCATTCATTCATTCATTCCTTCATTCCTTCATTCATTCATTCATTCATTCATTCATTCATTCATTCATTCATTCATTCATTCATTCCTTCATTCCTTCATTCATTCCTTCATTCATTCATTCATTCATTCATTCATTCCTTCATTCCTTCATTCATTCCTTCATTCATTCATTCATTCATTCATTCATTTATTCATTTACCCACTCATTTATTCATTCACGCATGCATTCCTCACCAGTATGCGTTCTTGTGTGACGCTTTAGATCAAAGGTGTCGTTGAATCCTTTACCACACACACGACACAGATAGCGCTTGAACTCGCTGTGGCACTTCAGGTGTCGGCTCAGATGACGAGAAAGTTCGAACTCTTTGTCACAAAAGTCACATTTCAGTTTGCCATTTGAGGGCTCCTCTGCTTTGTTCGAGGGTTCTGAAAGCAAAGAAATTCAAAATACAATATGAGCAATATGAATCTGATGTCAAAAAAGGAAATTGAGAAAGAATTAAACATTTTCTGTTTGGATAATACAATGCACGACACATATTTTTGCAATCCCCCCCCCTCCCCCAAACCGAGGTTGGTATTTTTGTCACTGTCGTACCATCCCTATTTATATATTAACCACCAAAACCAGCATAATCATCCCGTATCTCAATACTGAAATTTATTCAGTTTGGAATTAAAATGATATCCACAGGAACATAGACACAAGTTCATTCGAAAGCAATGACACAAGGTGGCGAAAAGCCAGCCCAGCAAGGAGATGTAGAATATTCTCTGTATATTGTGTACATCTGTGTGTTTCAGTTATGCATCTCGGTAATTACGTATGTATGTATATTTGTGTGTTTCAGTTATGTATCTAGGTCTTTATGTATATGTTCGTGTATTTATGTATGCCAATGGAACTCCAATTTTACCCTCGGAGAAATGTGTTTATCTTATCTGTTTATGTATTATAGCGCTCTCTCTCTCTCTCTCTCTCTCTCTCTCTCTCTCTCTCTCTCTCTCTCTCTCTCTCTCTCTCTCTCTTTACCTAAGATCTAAAGACAGAAAGTGAAGTTTTTCAGTAGCCTGTGTGAATAAAAACAGTTAATACGCTTACCTGGCTGTTTGGGAGGCCAATTTTCTGTCATCTTAGACTTCACGAATTGGGGATTTTTCACACCGTAACCTCCATTGATCAGCTCGGGAACCGTCTATGGAAAGTGAAGGAAAGACTATTCATATATTTGCTGAAACGATAATGTCTCAAAACAGTTGAAATATTGCAACTAGCCATATACACCGTCGTTCGCCTTAGAGTTGGCAATGAATGAAGTAAATGTTTATTTTGATTTCGATGATCACAAACACCCCCCCCCCCAAATCCTACAAAAACAACAACAGGACCACACACCCAACCCACTAAACAAAACTCAAACGAATGCAAGCCTCGTTAAGAAAGGAGAAGAATGCAAACAGAATTGATCAAAGTATCAAAGCAAAGACTCCAATCGTTGTATACATTCCCGTGGTCACTGCAGTGACCTTTCATAAACCAAATTCAAGACTTCTCTTTTCCCTCTTCTTCCTCCTTCTCCACTTCCCTTTCTTTCCCGTTTTTCTTGTTCTTCCAAGTACAACAAAGCAAAACAAAACAAAACAAAACAAAAAATACATCCCAAATTCAAATTCCTTTGAACACCATCGGTAGTCAAGTGGTTAAACTAGCGGATTCGTAATGATGAGATTTGAAGGTTTGAGGCTCAGTTTGGTCCGATGTTGCATCACCGGGAGTGACACTTCACACATTTGATCCAATTTGGCTCGGTCCTATCGAAGATGGACTCTAAATATGGAGGTTCCTCCTCGTAAATACTCTTACTGTGTTGTTAGGGGCTTTAAATCTTTACAATTTCACACATTTCGCAAATTTGTTTGTACTCACCAGAGACATTTTTGACAGGCCAGAAGTTTGCGGAGCGGGCGCTGCGACTAGCTCAGAATAGTTTGGACGTTCGTGAGCGCGCCCCATCGGAACATGTCCACGCAGGATGTTAGTGTGGAGTTCACTGACAGCAGACTCAAGTGAGTGGTGGCCATCAAGGGACGGGGTTGGCGTATTGCTGGTTGTCAGGGGTAAGGGGGATATCTTGGGCAGCGGAGACATATTGGCCAAAGGTGACCAATGAGTCACGTGAGGTGTTTGCACGAAAGGCGAGTAGCTGGCAGTAGAAGGGGTGTTGTATGGCATGACTGTGTGCGCCAAAGTTTGAAATCGAATCCTGTTCCCTGAGGGTGACTGTGAGATCATCGTTGGCAGTACTGGATCTGAAGATGGCACGTTCGGTGAAGACGTGAATACTGGTATTGTTCGCCCTGGAGATGCAAGAGGAGGCGATGCATATGGCACTGACTCGAAACACGGAGATCTGAGAACAGCAGATGTTGACGCAAGGACTGGCGCTGGTGACGTAAGCACAGATACAGGAGATGAAAGCACGGAAGCTGGTGACGTAAGCACTGATCTAGGTGACGATAGCAGTAATGCTGGTGACGAAACAACTAACGCTGTTGGAGTCATGGCTTGGGGAGAATGTCTTAACGAAGACAGATTTGATGGATGAATACTGGATTTTGTACTAAAATGAACTTCATCTCTGACACCATTTCTACGATAAGAACTAACTTCGTGTCCCTGGTGTAACTGATCATAAGAAAAACAGGTGGATTTGCTGGATGCTGTTGGCAGGTTGGTGTTTCCTGAAACTAGAGAACTTGACATATTATCTCCCGAAGACCTTGGATAAAAAACGCTCGAATCCCTGTCTGGTGATGACAAAGGATACATGTTTCTCTCCACGCTCTGGTTCCGGTCATGTGATTTAGAAGTGCTGTCTTTGCCTCTGCTTCTAGGGCGCTCATTTTGTTTTTCTTTAGTTCTGTAGTCGAAGGAAAACATTGCAGCTGTAGTTACAGGATCTCTTGGCGACTCTCTCAAGCCAGCTTGTTGAGACTGACAGGCCGTTTCTTCGCCACTTTGTTCTGTTTGCTCTTTGGCCTCATCTTCCTCTTTGTCTTCGGGAAAGTCCACAGCCATAAGTCGTCTGCGTGCATGGCTCTTTGGGTGTCTGTTTTCAGAACATTTCAAATCGAATGTTGCTTTTGTCTGTCTTCCTCGCCTGTCCGTGCTTTCAAACTTGGGCAATTTAGTGGGTCCGTTATCGACAACATCAAACTCATCAGTGTCAAATCGTCGCTTGGGGAGTCTATTATACATTTTGGAGCTCGCGTCTGACTCAGAACCATTTGAAAGCTCAGTTGTGGGATGAGAGCAAAACGATGTAGAAAGTTCCGTCTCCGATAGGTTGCTGGGTGAATCATCGTGGTTCTCATTTATTTTGGTTTGATTATGAATAATAAAGTCAAACGGCTGAACCTTATTCTCTGTTGAATTTCTTACTACGCATTTTGGAAGCAAGTCCACAAACGGAAATACCTGAGAGGCGTTTTGATTTGAGAACACCTCCCAGCTTTTCCTTTGATCCCAACTAAGTGTGCGATGTCTTGATTCCGACATAAGCCATGCTACGTCCTGACGTACTGGGGTCGTCTCGTTTACAATCTGTAAATGTCGACACGAGGGAGATTCTGTCTTGTGTTGGTGCCCAACTTTGACTGGCGTTGTTGGATGAGTGCCAGAGCTCGACTGACCTTCAACACGCCAGTCAAGTGGGCATACGTCAGGACAGCCGTGATCACCTCGTCGTGATTCGGTAATGTCAGTGCAGCGAACATACAGCGGCAGTGTGTTAGGCCTGTGAGCTGTCCCTACGTCTGTCAACCCATGTGTCTCTAACGTACGACTGTCTTGAGTAACAAACCGAGATCCACTAAATACAGTGGGTGAGAAAGGGGACTTAGAACCTTTCTTTCGTTCATGATTAAACCTGACGTTTTTCTCTTGGTCTACGGCAGCTGCAGGCAAAGAGGTAACACCAAGAGGGGTCACATGATGTCGCAATGACGGCTTCGACTCGGGTACGTCAGTTTCTACAGAGATCTTGTTTTTTGATTGACTCAAGTCCAGAGATTTCTCTTCTTTTTCGCTCACTGCGAGACAGGTAGACATGGATAACGGGTAATGTAGCCTTGCTGTCGTGTGACTCTTAATCGTTTCAGCATCAAAATGCTGCTTGGTATTCATGACGCGAGTAGGGTGATCGGATGGAGGATCTTGAACGAGACGTGGCGAAATTCCTGGAACCTCGTCGCGTTCTGTAATAGATAGTAAGAAATATGAATTTTAGATTGGATTAAGTTTCTGTTTTAAAAGAAAGTGATGCAGAAGTAACATTTTAGAATATAAGGAGTAGTTTTTATCACATACATATTTTTTCACATACATAATATTACACGTATATGTACCCCGTACTGAGTAACACAAACACACAAAGCAACACACACACACACACACACACACACACACACACACACACACACACACATACACACACATACACACACACACACAAACATATACATGCATGCAGCCCCTCCCCTCCCACACACAAACATACACACACACACACACAC